AAAAATCAAACGCATACCTCCTACTAGCGACGCTTCCTTTTTTTTTTTTTTTTCTTTCTTTCTCGTTTGCGCGAACCGTCCGAGCGAAACTCGTAGAAGAAACTCGTCGCCTCGTCTCCCCTCCGCTCCTATCGATATCGCGTCCTTCTCGCGTTCCTTTGCCATCCCTATTTTCGCTTTAAGGGGATAAATAGAGTGATGCACTGCAGTAAACGCCGATTCCTTTAATTTTACGAACGCTCGAGAAGAAATAAAATCGTTAAGGTAACGCGTTACTAAACGGATCCATCGTTTTCTTATCCTTGATTTATCTCTTACTCAGTTTCATCGTTTTATCGCCCTTCTTTTTTATTATTCTCATAAAATTTCAGGAAGCAGAGCAGAGTAATGGTACAAATAATGGGCAGCGTCGAAGCTAATAAAGTCATTAAATCGAGACACGCGTCGTCATCTTAGGTAATCGTAATCGTGTTCATCTTATCCTTCGTTAAATCAAATTTGATATTATTTTATATTATACCTTGTAATTGTAACGAAACGATATAATTTTTTAACCTTTTATTTTTTTTAATGTAAAATAGTTGCACTCGTCCTAGTTGAAATTAGCGAATCGAGTTGGATACTTTGGATGTGTAATGATACGATGGAAGCGTCAATTCGTTCCTTTTTTGCGATATCACACGCACGCAGATAACGACACGGAGCGCGCGTATTATCGCGCATTACACACGGTCGGATTATCTAAACGACACTTTTATCGTCGGCTCGCACGATCCGGCGCAAGTTGTCAACCGAGTCGAACGTTTGGCACGAAATCCATATAGCGGTTGGAAAAGTGAAAAATAAAAACGAGAAACCGATCGGAGTGGCCCTTGTTCGCGTACGGGAAGGGTAGGGTGGCGGGACGTAAAGAGAAAAGGCCGAGGAAGAAGGGAAAGGGAGGGATACACGCAGAAAGAGAAAGGGAAAGAAACGTATCGATCTCCTGCTTCATGCTTCTATGTATCTATCCGTATTCATGGTGTACACGTTCCAGCTTCTCGCGTTAACGGCTACACTCCAAGAGAGCCGAGCGAATTTAATTTCGTTTACTCTTAGAGGACGTTAAGATCTTATCGAGATGCTGGATGGGTATTCAAAGCATTGTACTTTCCCTTATCGCCCTTGTGAATCTTGCTCTAAACACGATGTCTCTGCCGTGCCTGAGGCGTGGAGAACGACGCCGATGCCTTCTAGTCTTTTCCAGATACGAATCCTATCGACCATGCCTGTGTACATACCTCTCTCTCCCGTTATACGGGAAACGGAAATGTTTCTCGACGTCGAAGGATTCGTCGAAGGATCGAAGATCGTTGCTTTTGATCACCGCCATTCGTTTCCTATTTTCCTATTATTTTCATACGTTTCTCGTCATCGAACGATCAAATTCACGCGAACTTCGAAAGCAATCGAACAAAAAAGATTTGAGAATAAATATAGAAATATTGGAGAGGACGCATTCGTAGGCGACGTTAATCATCGGCGACAACGCCGATTCGACATCGTTGTATCGATGTCTATTCATCCCTCCGTTCTTTTTTCCTCTCTCGACTCGTTTCTTTCCACGCTATCCTCCGAGTATTGGCTGTTAGGAGCTAATGGATTGCGTTACCGACTGATTCAAATGCGAACTGGATTTCATTCTAAGCTCGATGGGGCGACAGTATCGGCGATGTTGTAACGGGAACACGAGCAAGAAGGGTGGAAAGGCCAGTTTCTTACAGGGGCTCAAACTCGATTTCGATCATCTATTAGATTTTTCTCCTTCAGCCGATGCTTTCCGCGAGCTTGCGCCACTTTTCACGATAAAATCTATTCTGGATCGTCGCTTAACACAACCGGCAAGTGTATTTCGCGTCGTTGAAACGTTCGATCGTGTTGAAGATCGTTTGTTCCAACAGGTCCAAGATTGATACGTTTTCCGACAAATATCTATGCGTACTTTCGAATTAAATATTTTTGAAATATTCAACGGAGTTGCAATTTACGAGTAACAAATAAATATTCCAGAGCTGTTAAAAGAAATGTTGGAAAAGAAGATTCTAATGTTAATAATCAACATTTCGAACGAATGATAATAGAATTTCGGTCTCCGTGAAATTAAAGCGGTTTATCGGTGGATAGAAATCGGCGAATCAGTCGTATTTCTTGCCGTATCGGTGATTGTTCGGTTGCTAACGAATTGACACGGAATAAAATATACAGGAGTCGACCGATTGAGAAATCATTCCCAACCTACCTTCCGATCGTAGCATACCTTTCTCCGTTGCCTCTGTTAAAATGAAAATAAAACGCAGCAACGCGCAGCGGAAAGTGGAGGGTTGTATGCGATGGGAGAAGGGGAGACAGAATGGCAACGGCGTGTAGCGGGAAACGTGCACCGTTCGCTGTTTCCAGTTTTACAGTATACAACTTCGCAACGTTGGGATGGAT